GTTGTAACCACCAGTCAACCCCACTGTCCCAGATGTCAATGTGCATCAAGATATTGTAACAAAAACATCTAGCCTGCTGTCTCAGACAAGCAAAAATCTTAACTGGCCATGTAAACCTCTACTTAACCTTCATCAAGCAAGAGTGCCAACTGACAGTTCCAGCAAAGTTTACTCATTGAAAACCCAAACCATTTGTCTGCAAACTCTATTTCTGAGATGCAATTATCAACCTTCAGCGGATGACTACCCTTATTACAAACACCCACTGTCTAAGTACAATGCCCACACATAGACCAAAAATGGGTACCGATGTAGAGAATAAGTCCCCAATGACTGACAGAAATAAGTTTAACACACACTCACTCACCTGAGTAGTCTAATGACGTCTACAGTCAACATTGAAAAATCCATCGTATGGACATATTGTCAGATTGTCATGTGTGTTCGAACATGCATGAAATGTGTTTTTAAAATCCCATTTCCCATCAAACTCAGTCCTGGAAGTCCTGTGATTCTAGTCTCTGTTTTAATGTCCTTATTAAAAATAATTTTGATCTTACTGTTCACTGAACACAAAAGTGTCATTTTTCACTCTTGCTATGGTTTCCATATATTTGTTCCAAAAATCTCCAGACGCTGGACACAATCAATATTTGTAATTCTGAATAATGTGTTTCAGTTAATAAGAGAAAATATTTTCCCCAGATAATTTTTAATCAATCTAAAACTGCCTTAATTATGAATGGTCTCATTTTTCATTAAAATTTATCAAAATAATTATTCAAAAGTTTTATCAAATTTATTTTGAAGATAAAGTTTAATCATCTTTGTGGGAGATATTAGAATTGATACAGGACGGAGCAGATAATGCTTGATGTACTCCGGGCTCAAAGACTCATACAATATTAGTTTCACGCCTGGAGCCTCATCTATCATTTAACAAGTCTTTTCAAAATGAACATATTTATCTGAAAACAAAATGTCACAGTGCAAAGAGATGGGTACTTTAAAACGGCCAAGTAGAAATGCTGAAATCCGACCTCATGTGGTTCCTCATCGCCTCAGTGAACACAGAAGTATGAAAAACTTATCATAAACAAGGGTTGTTAGAATGAATAATTGAAGTGACTACGCCGCAGTGATAGTGGCCTGAGCAGTGCAGCTTAGTGGCCAGGACTGATTCAGCTGTGAGTGAGTAATGAGAGAGCCAGTGAGAGAAGGGGTGTGTGGGTGAGTGTGTGGGTGAGTGTGTGGGTGAGTGAGTGGGTGAGTGAGAGAGCGAGTGAGAAAAGGGTGAGTGAGTGAGAGAGGGGTGAGTGGGTGAGTGAGTGAGTGAGAGAGCGAGTGAGAGAAGGGGTGAGTGGGTGAGTGAGTGAGTGGGTGAGAGAGAGCGAGAGAGAGGGTTGAGTGAGTGAGGGGGTGAGTGAGTGATGGGGTGGGTGAGTGAGTGAGGGGGTGAGTGGGTGAGTGAGTGAGTGAGTGAGTGAGTGGATGAATGAGAGGGTGAGTGAGTGGGCAAGTGCATATGCATATCTGTGTGCATGAGCGGACTCACTAAACTGATCCTCAATATGAGCACCCCTCTATTTCCCCCTATCACTTTACCAGATACGTCAGAAGCTAAAGCTGATATTTCCACATGATCATTTTACTCATTAAAATAAAAATACATGTCAATACTTTCATGGTTTCATGTTTACTCTTGTCTCAGGAGAAACTTGACACTTTTTAAACCTATGACAGAACACATCTTAAAGCAAGTACCCCTAAGTACAAGTTTCCCCTTGTGCAGTCTACGGTGCAAGAAGACACAGGGGACGCTACTTCGTAAAGCCCCTAGACTTGGCGTCTCTTCATAAATATCTTTGGTTTAATACTGCTTTGAACAGCATTTCTAATATATCACTGCATGGGTTTTTGTGTGGTAATAATCAAATATGGACCAGGCAATCCAATGACCCACATCATGAGCATCGATCCACGCAATTGGGATAAGATGACATGCATCAACCAAGTCAGCAAGCCTGACCACCCGATCCCGGTAGTCGCCTCTTGCGACAAGCAAAGTCAACTTTTACGGCAAGCATGGGTTGCTGAAGACCTATTCTACCCCGGATCTTCACAGGTCAGTTACAGACAAAATGAATTTGGGAGTAAATTATCTGTGGCCCTAACAAAACTGAATTTTTTTTATCAGTTTTTTGTAAAAAAAAAATCAAACTTATTTAATTCAATGACATTTTTAAAAGCCTACTTTCAGTGAAAATTACTCTATGGCAGACATCAAACCATAGCATCAATGAAATCCAAAGACTAGTATCAAATAACATTTGTTCAGTTGAGTGACCCTGAATGATCAACTATCAATGGTGAAATCATGGCTCGCCGGTGTGAGGCCGGTCTGAGGGAATGGGTCAGTCAGGGACATTCAACAATGCTCCTACACACATCAATGATTTCAGGTACGGTACATCAAACCAGTAGAAAATGACTGACAACCCCAAACCATTAAGGATTTGTAAAATAAGGTGGGCACATGACAACATAATAAATTTGGTGAAAATATCATTCTCCGTGTTCAGAATAAGGAATTAAGTCAAGGGTCTTGGTCATAACCCTAATGCTAAAAGTAGGTCCCTAGTTTCCAATACTCAAGGTGCAACCCCTAAGGACCCAAGGGACCCCTTTAATTTCTGATTCTATATTCGACACCCCCAGGAATGCTTAGGTCACATGCATGCATCGAGTCATATGCCTAACATATACATAATATACTACTAAATTTTTTTTAAAAACACAGGAAAATCAGGTGTTCTGTAACTTATTTTGAGCAATATCAACATACAAACACATACTGGGGTGAACAAGTTACAGCAAACTTGTTCAAATTCTAGTTCAGACTTAAATAAGTCTACACCTATTTCTTCCAAATTTGTATAAGCCAAAAACTAGTGAGCATGGCTTTACCCTATCAATATCAAAGTCGAGGATGCCAGAAATTTGCTTCACACGTTGTACCCTGAAAGGTAATAGAACCAAGGCCTTCGGGGGAATGAGCGAACACTTCGACCACTGTGCTACTCCATCTGCCCTCTAAAAATAGTGGACTATCAAAGTGCTCAGTCTGTTATCATTTCTATCAAATACGCCATGAAGGATGAGGGTGCCAAACCCTGTATATACCTCAATCTGTACAGCATGCATGTTTGGTACACACATGCACACTTCGTCAACCTGACCATACACAGATATTATAGCTAAAATGGATAGAATTATCATCAAACTGCCCTCATGTTATCAGAAATGAGCGGGCCTCTGTAACTTGATAATGCCCTCATATTGCTTGACAACGGGCCTTTATCACGCCCGTTGTTAGGTGACGTCATAGGATAGGGATAGGTGACGTCATGTTCAATAGTGACGTCATCTGGTTTGTTCAATGACGTTTCCATATTTGTAAAAGTGGGTCAGTGAAATTTGTGTTGATTGCACTGAATGTTTCAAAACCGATATTGTTTATTTTTATTTGATAGCAAATTTTTCCACTTTAGCTATAATGACGGGAACGCTATTTTTCAGGGCATTATCATTTGCAGAAGCCCACGGTCTTTTCAACTGCCCTCCTTCATTGGGCAGTTAATGGAAGACCTCAGGCTTCTGCAAATGATAATGCCCTGAAAAATAGTGTTACCCTTATACTAATATCTGGTACAATGTTGTACACACTACATGATGCACTAACCTTAACTTGAGTGTATATATATATATATACAATGTGTGTGATACAATGTTGTACTTACTGCAAGATACATTTATCCCAGTTGATTATACAGCATACATGTGCCGTACAATGTTGTACTTAATACTATAAGGGTAACACTATTTTTCAGGGCATTATCATTTGCAGAAGCCTTAGGTCTTCCATTAACTGCCCGACGAAGGAGGGCAGTTGAAAAGACTGAGGGCTTCTGAAAATTATAATGCCCTGAAAAAGAACGTTACCGTTATTATAGCTAAAATGGATGGAATTTGTTATCAAATAAAAAGAAACAACAACATCGGTTTTGAAACATTTACTGCAAGCAACACGAATGTCACTGAACACATTTTACAAATATGGAAACGTCATAGAACAAACCAGATGACATCACTATAATACGTGACGTCATTTTCTCCACCCTATGACGTCACCTAACAACGGGCTTGATAATGGCCCGTCGTCAAGCAATATGAGGGCATTATCAAATTACAGTGGCCCGCTCATTTCTGATAACGTGCGGGCGGTTTAATGATAATTCTATCCTTTTTAGCTATAATACATGGTACAATAACCTCAAGTTAAGTCCGTAAACAATGTTGCACATGGTGTACGATACACATACCATGACATGGTAATATGTACATATCAGTATGTTTAATCACAGCTATTGCATTAATAATGCCATGCCTTTCAACCTAACGACCAGTCAATCCTGCCTATCTACCTCCAATGCATGGCACATGATGAGCAGGAATGGCTTGTCACTGTCACTGAGCATACCCAGTGAGTAGCTTAGCATAGAGAAGCAATTGCTTTCTTTAAGACAAGAATCAAATGTGATCAACCCAAACACAATTGTGTGGACTAACACAGCATATCTATGTTCAAATGGAACTTTCTTAATGAATATTTTAACATTTTATGGTCTACTCCTTCTAAAGCTTTTTTAATCTAGTCTTCATAATTTTAAACAGCTACGCCGAAATCATTTTTGAACTGCATACGATCCAGAAATTGAAGTAGTGAAGACATATTCCTTCCACAATTTCTGTGACTAAACAACTACATACATGGATGGTGGGGTTTTACACACTTAATTTAGGTTTGTAATTATTTTTAATTCATTGCACATTATGAAAGTCATTCAACACAGAAAATCTTGACTTTGCACCTTTGCATAGCATTGCAATAAAACAAAACTTGAACCAAAGTGATAAAACAGCACAAGCAAACAGCCTACCTTTAAAATACCAGGGGTACCACAGAGGAGAAGAGGAGTTGGAGGTGGCTATGTAATCACTCAGCAGGTGAGTCATCGAGCGTGGTTGGGGATACACTGGCAACTCAGGGACCCGTGGGGTGGGGGTGCACCACAGGGCTGGGCGCCACAGCCCTGGCACCAGGGGGGGAGGGCCGCCTTCCATCAAGGGATGCTCTCCAAGAACGGACATAATCCTTGAAACATTCACGAATGGCAGTACTCCACTGATGTAGTGCAACTGTTGCTCACTTCAGTTGTGGGGGCTCAGGTAGACAGCAGTACACATGCTGAGGGATACTCTCGCAATACTGACACTAGCTCACAGACTTACACACGTGGGCTCTCATTGGCTAGCAGCGACCTGTGACCTCTAGCAAACACTCCTACCAATGGTGGGAGCAGATTTAATGTCTTGCATTCTGCTACATAGTAGTGTTATAGCTGGTGACTGGAAACCGAGAACTATATTGCTGATGACAGATGGAAGGACACAGGGAGTGAAGGAGCTGTGTTCAAGTAACACCTGAAGATGCTGCTTCGGAATCCGTCTCTGAACAGTAGTACAGGCAGAGGGGCTAGTGAGGCTAGCGAGGGGGAAGGCAGACACACACACACCAAATCTTGACTATTATACCTACTCGTGTGTCAAGTCCCATCTATGAGGTTGGCACGAAAGAAGCAAAATAACAGTTAATGATAATTATAGGCAAATTTATCACACATAGGATTTCTACAAAACAGGCTACTAATATTTTGACAAGTATTTATAAATCTTCTTCAGTAATTTGCTCATGAGGAAATACTGTGTCAAACACACTCATTCATTCATTCATTCACAATAGAGAGAGCTTGTCTCATCAAAAACATCCTTTCCTTTACAAGTTGAGCAACTTTCAAAGCACCTTCAAACCGTCAACTAAGATGTGGTGAATATACGAATGAGATATGATTTCCAACTACTAACATAATGGTTTCACACTACTAAAATAAAGATTTCCAACTACTGACATAATGATTTCCCACTACTAACATAATGGTTTCCCACTACGAACATAATGATTTCCAACAACTAACATAATGGTTTCCCACTACTAACATAATGATTTCCAACAACTAACATAATGATTTCCCACTACTAACATAATGATTTCCAACTACTAACATAATGGTTTCCCACTACTAACATAATGATTTCCCACGACTAACATAATGATTTCCAACTACTAACATAATGGTTTCCCACTACTAACATAATGATTTCCCACTACTGACAAAATGATTTCCAACTACTAACAAAATGATTTCCCACTATAACATAATGATTTCCCACTACTAACATAATGATTTCCCACTACTAACATAATGATTTCCCACTACTAACATAATGATTTCCAACAACTAACATAATGATTTACCACTATAACATTATGATTTCCCACTACTAACATAATGTTTTCCCACTACTAACATAATGATTTCCCACTATAACATAATGATTTCCCACTACTAACATAATGATTTCCAACTACTAACATAATGGTTTCCCACTACTAACATAATGATTTCCCATCAACATAATGATTTCCCGCTACTAACAAATGATTTCCACTGATTTCTCACTACCAACATAATGATTTCCCATCAACATAATGATTTTCCACTACTAACAAATGATTTTGCACTGATTTCCCACTACTAACATAATGGTTTCCCTCTACTAACATAATGGTTTCCCACTACTAACATAATGATTTTCACTACTAACTTAATGATTTCCCACTACTAACATAATGATTTCCCACTGATTTCTCACTACTAACATAATGATTCCCCATCAACATAATGATTTCCAACTACTAACAAATGATTTCCCACTGATTTCCCACTACTAAGATAATGGTTTCCCACTACTAACATAATGGTTTCCCATTACTAACATAATTGTTTCCCACTACCAACATAATGGTTTCCCACTAATAACATAATGATTTCCCACTAATAACATAATGGTTTCCCACTACTAACATAATGATTTCCCACTACCAACATAATTGTTTCCCACTACCAACATAATGGTTTCCCACTAATAACATAATGATTTCCCACTACTAACATAATGGTTTCCCACTACTTACATAATGATTTCCCACTAATAACATAATGATTTCCCACTACTAACATAATGGTTTCCCACTACTAACATAATGATTTCCCACTACTAACATAATGATTTTCCACTACTAACATAATGATTTCCCACTGATTTCCCGCTACTAACATAATGATTTCCTGCGACTAACATAATAATTTCCCATCAACATAATGATTTCCAACTGCTAACAAAAACGGTTTCCCACTGCCATCATAATTGTTTCCCACTACTGACATAATGATTTCCCACTAACAAAATGATTTCCCTTTATTAACAATGATTTCCCACTACGAACATAATGCTTTTCCACTACTAACATAATGGTTTCCCACTATAACATAATGATTTCCCACTACGAACATAATGCTTTCCCGCTACTAACATAATGATTTCCCACTACTAACATAATGACTTCCCACTACTCACATTATGATTTCCCACTACTAACAATGATTTCCCACTATAACATTATGATTTCCTACTACTAACATAATGTTTTCCCACTACTAACAATGATTTCCCACTATAACATAATGATTTCCCACTACTAACATAATGATTTCCCACTACTAACATTATGATTTCCCACTATAACATAATGATTTCCTATCAACATAATGGTTTCCCACTACTAACACAATGATTTTCCATTACGAACATAATGATTTCCCTCTACTAACATAATGATTTTCCACTACTAACAAAATGGTTTCACTCTACTAACAATGATTTTCCACTACTAACATAATGGTTTCCCACTACTAACATAATGATTTCCCACTGATTTCCTGCTACAAACATAATGATTTCCCATCAACATAATGATTTCATGCTACTAACATAATGATTTCCCACTGCTAACATAATTTCCCACCATTAACATAATGATTTCCAACTACTAAATGATTTTTTAACTACATGATTTCCACTTGCAACAATGATTTTCCACCAGTAACATTATTACACAATGTGAAACAGCATGATGACAGGGCTGGGTCATGTTTGTAAGACAATTGCAGAAAATACTACACATATATCATGATTTAATTTCTCAAAATTACATGCCAAACAACTGTTGCTGAAAATAAAGTTGTTAATGGAGTGTATGTACCTCAGTTGTCAACAAGAATCCCAGCAATTTGAAACTACATCCGAAGCAACCTCTTCAGTTATCACATCCCCCTTTCAAAACACATATCTTTTGATAAAAATACCTTTCTATACCATCTTTTACCAACAGTTAACATCACAGTATTGAAAGCGTTGAAGTTGACAAAAGCTACGTTTCAAACCAGAGTATGTTTGACACTTATACATACATGACACAAATGCTTCAATTCAGTGCACTCCGACCACCATTTGCGAAATTTCATAAAGAGCATATGACATTAAGTCCAATTAATGGCCGTCATTGTGACGAGCCATCAAACCAGTCCCCCAGAGCTGACAGGTTTAATCCCCACATATGTCTTGAGCCCCTCTGTCCCATTACATTAACGACAAGACTGAATTCTCATGACATGGCCGGGCTGTTTAAAAGGTGGTAAAAGCCTGCAGGCATTTTATAATGAAGTATGTTAAATCATATTGTACCGCTGCAAGACCCACACAAGGCTGACAGAACAGCCTCTATAATTTCTGATCCGCTTTTCAACGTGTTCAAATTATAATCCTGGGGTTTTTCTCATTGTAAAGATGTAGACTCATCTTGCAAGTATTTGACCTAATCTCCTCAACTGTTGCAGCGAGAAAAAGCATAGCCAGGTGACGATTCTTAATTACAGGTGTGTGGATGAGTGATAACCAATCACACTTTGAGACACAGCTGGAAGCTCCCAAAGTATGTGACAAGCATACTTGAAAGAAATTATTAAAATATATACTCATTATTGTCGAAACATTGTGTTAGCATCCACTGTGACATTGTCCTGCGTGCGTGCGTGTGTGTGAATTAATGTTGTGTGTGCGTGCGTGAATTACTGTTGTGTGTGCGTGTGTGAATTACTGTCCAGTGTGTGTGTGCATGCATCATGCATGCGTGAATTACTGTCCAGTGTGTATGTGTGTGTGTGCGTGCGTGCGTGAATTACTGTTCGGGTGTGTGCATGCGTGCCTGTGTGTGTTTTTTGCACTGTGGTGTGTGTGATAGAGTCCAGTCTGAGTCTTGTGGGTATATCGTCCAGTCTGACCTTCGGTAAAGTGGTACAGTTAGCTAGTTTTTTAAACTTTAAGCAGTTAGACCTGTGAAAATCCGGGTTAGAATAGGTCTTCAGCAACCCAAGCTTGCTGTAAAAGTCGACTGCTTGTTAAAAGAGGCAACTAACGGGATCGGGTGGTCAGCCTTGCTGACTTGGTTGATGCATGTTGAGCCCAATTATGTGGCTTCATGCTCATGATGTCAATCACTGGATTGTCTGCTCCAGACTCAACCGCCGTCATATAGCTGGAATATTGCTGAGTGTGGCGTTAAACAACAAACAAACAAACAAATTTAAGCAGTAATGTGGTTATATAACTCAATGTGGTATAGTTAAATTCAAACTGGCTGCTGATTTCTCCGAGCACAGCAAGAGCTGCCCCGAGCGGAGTTTCTCACACTTTTTCAACAAGTCCAGCAAGTCCTGGCCTCCAACACATCCGACTCATCAAACTGTTCCAGACCAGCAGTTTCATTCACAGTAATCTACCTGATGAGGTCAACTGTTTCGTGTGACAACCTGACCTTGGTGGTGGCTCCTGGCCACAAGGTGACAGACTCAGACTGGGACACTCACCTCCATTTCCTGTCCCCATTAAAAACAAATCCACACTAACGAAAGGGATGTACTTGGAGGCAGGCCATGGGGAAAACCATTCATACATTTACTCACAAAAAACATAAATTATAGTGGATAGATTTTTATGCACGCCTACATTTATTATATATTGATGGGCCCTGTATGAATATTTTTTACTGATTAATTAAATAATAACATGAATCAGAAAATTTATTACAGACTTTTTTGGACGAATTCTTTATTTTTTGTGCTGACGTTTCAGAGCTACTTCTTGCCCATTCATTAAATAAATACTAAGCGTATTTAGTTAATATATACATACTGATATGTACAAAGTTAACAATATAACGATCAAGCCACAGGATTAACCAGAGAGAGGCCAAAGCGAGTGAAAGTTGAGTTTGGCCCCTTGACACATTGTTACAACGAAAGTAGTTTTCCATGAAGGTTTCATGGATTCACATTCTTCCAACTTCTAAACGATTATCAAAAACTTAATTAAACATGTTATTTAAAAAGGGTACATATATTCCTTATTTCTAAAATATATTTCACATAAACAACAACAATAATGTCACTAAAATATTAGTCACATATAATCCAATACATGAATGCTTATATCAAATCTATT